AACAATGTGTCAAGGCGTTCCGTTATACAACATGTGAAAAAGGAGACTAAAATTTGACCTTGATATATGCGAATATTTGATACTTCGTAGATCTGTCAAATGTATACACTGTCATGTTTTATATTTCACGCTTACTAAAGCATGATTTCTAAGCGTTCATAATTAAATCAAATTTCTGTTGACTTTACAAAGTAAAGACCAAGCATGGCCTATCTGTTCAAAACTTTATGTTAAAAAACCTGCGTATTAATTTCTTAATTAGGAATAACGACATTAAATGTCAAACACCAGTGATATCCTATGGCTATGTTATGATTGAATTCGAAATAATGTTGACAATTTATAACCAGAGTTTTGTTCGTTGAAAGCTACGCAAATGCATTGATAATTAATTTCATTCAATTTTGAATATTAATCATGCAAAATTTATGATGCTTTTACATTTACCTTTAACAAAATGTTGTTAAATGCCACAATATAGGATTTTTTTTCATTTATTTATTCTACAAATTATTTGCAACTCTTGGAATAATATATTTAGATGAATTGTTTAACATCCTGATTTTGTTAGGTAATGTCAAAGTTTTGGTGATAAAATAGTTAAAATAAAAAAAGACATTTAGCTCCCAACTATGGTGTTATAGAATAAATTGACTTTTACTGGTCAAACTAAAAATAATTGTCAATTTAGTTAAAATTTCACTTTTACGTTATTATCCCTAGTGCACTTTTATTGTAATCTTTATCAAAATCACCAGCTTGCAAAACCTCTGAAGTATACTACTTCTATGTAAGGGCAGGCTAAAGGCCATTACAAGAACAGAACCCCAAATCAATGCACTTCCCTTGGATGTATAGAAAAATTTACGCACTAAACAACGAATAAAGGATTTAGGATAACATCATATTAAAAAATATTTTGGAATATAAAAGTTTCACTGTACATGCATGTTTAGTCAATTAAAAATACAGTGTTGATTGGCTGAAAAATTAAATTTATTGTGTGTCAAAAACGTATCAATCCGCTTGCCATAACATATAAATTTTGTACAATTTAATGTCATATTTGAGGTGAAATTGTCTTTTTTACCTTTACACTCAATGGTGGAAAATTATACTGATTAAATTTACAAACTACTCATGTCATACAGTATAGCCTGGGTTGAAACACTTATTTGATAAATCACTCCGCAGATTATAAAGCGTAAATTGCCCCAAACACAGCTTGGGAAGTTAGTTTTTTTTTCCATTCTTTAAATACACAATATATTTTACACATATACTTCCTTGATCTTTTGTCGAAACAGTTTTCGTGATTAATTTGTTAGTAATGTTTTTATTATTCTTTTCTCGGATAAAAAAAAACCGATTATATTCGCTGCTTTGTTCGTTTGTGATTTCCATTAACACAAATAACACTTTTTGAAATAAAAAAAAACAACTTTAAAAGTATATAATATACTGAATGTTTTAGATGTATGTGTTTTAATCTTTATATCATAATTGCAAAATAAACATAAACTCAATTTTATATAAGATTTTTTTTTCATTATTAACGTCAACGTCATCATCAAAACATTTGTACCACACGTCATTAAAAATTTAAATATCTAAAACCGTGCAACATATTGAAACAAATCAATCATATTATCAAGGATAAGAGGAAATGAAATGTCTCAGGAAAGATTTAAAATTAAAATAATGTTTTTCCAATAATTTACTCCTTTTTTTGTACATAAATGTATTCAAGTAAACAAATAGCTGTTATACTAACCCACACTTGCGTCGTTCGACAGATAACCGAAAAGAGGGCTCCTTTCCCATAAGTTGTCCTTGTTACATTAAAACTATTGATTGCATCCTTTATCTGATGAATACATAGGGTGTGACCGAACGATGGGAAGAGCATACTTAAAGTTATAAACATTCTATATCAGTATGGTTTGCACCTTGTAGATCGAGAAAAAAAACAATAAGCTTGGAAACGGTTCAGAATAACTCCAGAATAACTTAATAGCATGCGTGATTAAAGAATTGTCAATGACAAATTAGTGACCATGCTTGAAGAATAAAAAAAAACTGTATTCAAGCTTAAATGTCTACTTTAATAATACTATTTGGTAGTAGATCAAACATTGACCTCTATAAACATCAAAGGTGGGATCAAGTGCCGTGGAGGAGTGAGCATCCCCTGATGACCGGTCACACCCGCCGTGTGCTCCTTGTCGATTTTGGTCTATATGCCCTGGTTGCTGTAGTCAGTGAAAGTGACTTAATTTCTCTTTCAAAATATTACCTACTATATAGCAAAGATCTATGATGGCTGCTATAGGACACATCATTTTAAAAAAAAATATTTCCCACATAATTAAATTTGTTCCCACGAAATTAATTTCGTCTCGACGATTTTTTTTGTAGAACGATTTAAATTTCGTGAGAACGAAATTTATTTGTGGCAACGAGTTTAATTTCGTGGGAATAGTTTTTTTTATTGAAAATAAATCTCAAGCAAATGTTCTATAGCAGCCACAGTAAAGATCGCAACAAATAGGCGATTCTTCAACTCTTCTCTAAAAGGACTGATGACATTTTGCTTTTGTGTTTCTTTGATTGAGCGTGTCCATGGTATATCCATTTGTCCTTTTGCGATCTACTTGCAATGTTCTTGTCTATTTTTAACTCGGAAAGATGCTTTTTAAAATATCAAGTGTCAAATTCGTTTTCATTAAAAATTGATTGAAAATCTTAAATTACAGATGTATTTAGAAAGAGTTCATTTTGTAGAACGTATCTGCCCTTTTTCTACGAGAGAGAAAGAGAGTTATAAAATGTGAAACGGCTCTGTCACCACACCTTATCTGTCTCTATTGTAGAAACTTTTGAGACAGATTACTTTAATTCTAAGTTTTTAAAAACTTTTCGCACTTCAAACCGCTTTTTCCCTTTATAATAATAATTGCGATAAAAAACTCATCAGCGATTAATTGCAACTTGCATTCGCCAAAATCAGAAACGTTCAAAAGAATCTACCTTTCTTTTGATACGAGTGGTAAATGATATCCAAAAATAAATCTTGTATTAACAAGATTAAATGTTTTTTTTAATGAGGTATGTCAGTTGAATTCTTAAACGTGTACTTCAAATCTTGTACTCTTCTTCTGTTGAAAAAAATTAAAATGAGGCTGGAGAATAACCTTATTTTGTCATTTTCTATTTTACAAGCATTTTTTATCAACAAAATTAACATATTCGTGATTAGGTGACAAGGCACTCTTGAGTAAAGTTTTGAATCACCAATTTCTTTAATTTTAAAGGATATAACAAAAAATATTGCCCCCTTAAACTGTAGGTCATAAAATTTTCGCGACACCTTATCTTCGCGAGATAGTCATTAATTTTTTATGAGAACCAAATTTTTCACGAATTGTGGTTATTGCGCTAAACAATTTTAAGGAATACTATCATACACGAGAATTAAATTTTCGCGAGCACATTGTCTAGCGGAATTTCGCGAAAATAAAGTTCTCGCGAATAAGAAGTAATTTACAGTATATAGCATCACTTACCTTAACATTTTGAATCACTGATCTTCTTATTGAAGTAGTTCATATTTGAAAGTAATAAAAAATATATTACACTACGTGACTAAAGGTTATTAAAATAGTTGAAGATAATATAATTCGCCTTTTATTGTTTTTGTACTGTAATAAATTTCAGGATACATCTTATTTCAATTTAAAGCGAAATCGTCGTTACAGGTTTGACGATATTTTGTAATTTCCTCAGCAAATTATACATGTTATACATTACTGTGTTTTAAAAGTAATAAAATAACTCAGTCAAATAAAACATGCATGGTTTAAGCGGAAAATTTCTGGACAAATGGGCAAAAATGAAAGTTTTCACATCGAAGTAATAATTCATCTGTTGAGATTAAACAAAAGATGTCTTTATACATATTGTTTGGCTATTGTAAAGTAAATGTAAGTTTATCCTTCAATTCCCAATGATTGATGGAACATGAGTGAACAAAATGTGTGGCGCGTCCAGATATTTCTATATTACGTATAACTAACGAGGCATATTGTATATATCACTAGTAAATAATGGCACTGAATTTACTTAGCCCGAACACGTGCCAGTTCAGGTATATATGTACTTTAGCAGGTATATTTTATGAAGCGTTTAAAAAGCTTGGGCGTTCACAACCTTTATGAGTACTTGATATTGATAATGGAATTTGTAAGCATTTTTCTCTAGTAAGTTGTACAACACAATTCATTCCTGTTCCGTAAAGCAACTATCCAGAATTAGATAATATATTTAAAAAAAGAAGGACTTTAGTGCAAAGCAGAAAGAACAGCGCTTTATCAAGCATGGACTTTGTATTATAACTTCTAAATCAAGTTTATATTATTACAGGGTATTTTCGTACAAGCTTCAGGTGGTGCTTGGATATAAATTGTTGGATATTTAAAAAAACCCAATTAACTCCAGTTTAGGATAAGAGTGATAATTCCTAAAAAAAACATAAATGTCTATTATATACCTTCATAAATTTGTCCAAGTTGAAATGTCTTTCTTGTCCAGGTTCGCTCTCCAAGCTATTCTATAATTGTTTGCTTTTTACTTAAAAAAAATTATGTAAGGAACTTGTGGGGGATTTCTTGACAGTTTAATTATTCTTTGTATAATGTAAATCTATGCACACTTACATTATGTTTTGTATGCCGTACTATGACGTCATAAACGTTACCACGGAGTCATGTGAATAGCCTTTTTATACAGTTTAAACCAGAGTTCAAATAAACACTGAACAGTATAGACGTGTTTTTCATATCTTCGGGATATTACAACTTTCACGATATTGGTGCCGTGACCATTGGGAAACTACGATGGATGTTATCAAATTAAAAGCAGTACGTTTGGGTCAACGTGGAGCGATAACATGAATTTTCAAGAAAATTACTGAGTCAGAAAATGAAACCTCAAAACATGAAATGCTGAAAATACTACAAGAGAAGAGGGAGTTACTAGAACAGATCAAGGCAGATATTCTTGAAGGATTAAAGGAAGAAGAAGAGATACAAACAGAAATACAGGACTCAGATGAGTGTATGTTAGACTTAAGGCTGAAATTAAGAGAATTAATGAAGGATACATTGCCTGAACAGACTCAGTTTATGTTAAGTCAAGTAAATGAGAACATTCATCTATCTACTCCTTTGAATCTGAATGTAAATGCGCCTAACTTCATTCCTAACAATGCCTGCTCTTCCCAGCTTAGTTTAGGAGACACCAAGATCCAAAATCAAACTTTTAAACTTGCCCACATTCGCTGGAAATTTACTTGAATGGCAGACTTTCATGGATTGCTTTGAAACAAGCGATCATAGCAACAACAGCCTGTCCGATGTTGAGAAATTCAACTACCTTAGATCATTGCTTTGTGGGGAGGCTCTTAAAATTATTTCAGAATTTGCTCTTACAAATTCCAATTACAGACAAGCCTTGGATGTTTTATCGGAGAGATACGGTCAAACCCACAAATTAACCAATGCGTACATGAAGAAGCTGATGGACCTTCCAGGTCCAAATAGTAATCCAAATGTAACAGTTTACATCAACAAAATTGAGACATATATGCGTAGTTTGGAGTCACTTAGTTCATACCCTTACACATACTCACACATACTCATCCTTGCTGGTATCTGTAATCCTGAAGAAACTACCACAAGAATTCCTCCAAGAGATCACTCGGCAAAAAGGAGATGACCACTGGGATATAAATACGCTCTGCAAATCAATCAAAAGGGAACTATCAGTGTACGAGATAACTGACTTCAATGATTACAGTGAACCAAAGATCACCTCAAGTTTCATAACCAGAGCCAATGCAAAGAAGATGTCAGGAATCGTTACACAGAGAAAAGGAGACCAAATGGAGAAAAAATTGTGCATTTTTTGCAATGAAGACCACAGTCCAATCAACTGTAACATTGAACACAACAGGAAACTGGAGAAAATCAAGAAGGACAAGTTGTGTTTTAATTGCCTAGGTCGACACAAAGTGGCAGACTGTAAATCCAAGAAAACATGCAAAAAGTGTAATCGACATCACCACACTAGCATATGTACAAGACAGGAGAATGCAGTAGAAGTATACGAGCAACAACAGAAAGCCAAAGTGTCCATAACCCCATCAAGTGTTCTCAGTCTACATTCAACTTCATTCAGATCTTTCCAAGTTCTTTTCAAGACAGCTGTTGCAGAGGTACAGTCCGCTAATGGAACAGAATGTCAGGCAAACATCATGTTCGATGAGGGATCACAACGATCATTTATCAACCAAAAATTAGCATCTCAGCTTCAGCTTGAGGTTATCGGAAAAGAAGTGATCAATGCTGCTGGATTTGGATCAAAGAAAACAGAGTTGTGTCACTTAGATAGAGTACAACTGAGCATCATTGGGGAGAGAAATCAGCACATACCAACAGACGTATTCGTTGTTCCACAGATTGGTGTTCCAATTTAAACCCATACAGCAGAGATAAAACAGCTACTACATCTACGTCACTTAAAACATGCACACGACGACCCAAGTGATCATTCATTTGAAATAGAGATCCTTATTGGAGCAGATTACTACTGAGACTTTGCCATGAACCATGTAGTACGAGGCAAAGGACCAACCACTGTGAAATCCAAGCTGGGATACCTGTTATCTGGACCAACAAAAGAAAATGCTGGAACTATCACAGGAATATACAAAATACTGTGCCAACTTAATGAGGAAAATGCTAACTTAACTCAGTTTTGGGAAGTAGAAGATCTTCCTAACAAAGTGAATGAAGAAACAACCAGCAAAATTGTGAAATATCAAAATGAATGTATTACTTACAAAGACGAGAGATACACTGCACGTCTATCATGGAAAGTAGACCACCTAGAACTTCCTACAAAATTAATATGAACATCGCAAGACAAAGACTCAACAGTAAGTCGCTTGGAGAAGGAACCAGGTATGTTGGAACTTTATGATAACATCATCAAAGAATAGGAAAAGAAATGCGTCATAGAGGAAGTAAAGGAAACGGAAACAGATAAACACGTCCATTATGTACCACATCATCCTGTAAAGAAAGATTCAACTACTACTCCTATAAGGATAGTCTACGACTGCAGTTGTAAGGATTCTAAGGAAGTCGCCAGCCTTAATGACTGCCTAGAAACAAATGCTCCTCAGCTAAATGAATTAACAACTCTCCTTACTAACTTTCGGATGAGACAGTATGCCATCTCAACAGACATAGAAAAGGCGTTTCTTCAAGTTGGTTTAGCAGAGAAAGATAGAAACTGCACTAGATTCTTTTGGCTGAGAAATTACAAGGACGAGAACAAGAAGATCGTTACTTACAGAAAGGATAAGAAAGTTTATATGTGTCTTTTTACTTGTGCAAGTTCACGTCAGCTCATTTGGATATTGTAGATTTTTCATAGGAATCCTTTCTATATGTACTTGTCAAAATTTCTAAGTCCCCACTTTTATTTTTTCAAAAAGTTAAAAACCTTAGCATCAGTGTACTAGTTGCTTACAATTTTGCCTTTAATTTGCGATACTTACCTGTCAAGGCCAAAAAAATGTAACCGAGTGCGTAATTACTCGACCGTGACTGTTTTTGTTAAAAAGAAATTCAATTTCCATGTGTTTTTCGGGTGTATTCTTCATATTTTTTGCTTCCACGTGTTCTCCATCTTTAATTGATAACGAAAAACAGAAAAAAGTTCCATTAAATGCAGTGTATATCCACACAACAATGTGAAAGTGAAGTTGAAATGGCCCCAACCTGGTCGTAATAACAAAAGTTCTGTTTCCTTTCACTATATGACTTTATCTCACTTAAAACATTTATAATTACCGCCCGAAAAAACTACAAAGCATACCTGAATCCGTTTTATTGATTAGAAATCGGTAGATTTTCCACAAACACAACAAAATCATCCTAAAGTTTAACCGGAAATATAAGTGGAACCGAAAGTGCCTTCTCCTCGATGTCAAACTGGAGGAGTGGGGAAAACATGTAATGAGACATTATGTATAAAAGCAAGGCACAGGCACTTTCAGTAAGCCCCCTTATCATCCTGATCTCAACCCTAACTTACATGTATGGAAGAAGATAAACCGTAGTTTGAGGCAGCTTTTCCAGCAGCAGAATCTAGCAGAACTAGAGGACGACCTTGTCTACACATGGAACACATTCAATAAAAGAATTTTTATTAAATAGCGTAAACTAGTTGAGGAACGGTTGTCTTGCTGTGAATTTGTTTGAATGGCGACTAATGCAGTATCTAATGTTGTGATTTTTTTAATTCTAGGGTGCCTTAACGTTTCTGCATATATTGTTTTAAAGTTCTTCAATAAAATAAATTAAGTGAGAAAAATTGTTTTACTACTTTTTTATCCTGTATACTTATCAAATTATACTGTTAAAATAATTCAATATAAGAGCGGTGTAAAAAAAAAACTTGCCTGGGGACTTAGAAATTTGACTAGTATACGTGCATTCAGGCGTTTTGTAAGCAGAAGGTTTCTTTCTAAGATTGTGATGTCCGATAATGGTTCCACATTTGTAGCAGCATCTGACACCATACAACAACTTACACAATCATCAAAAATTTAAGAGGAGCTGTTAGTCAGTGGTACAACCTGGAAATTTATCCCTACGAGAGCCCCTTGGTTTGGTGGATTTTGGGAACGACTAATTGGATTAACAAAGGAAACAGTGAAGAAAGTACTCGGAAAATCCTATGTATGTCTTGACACTCTTAATGCTGTCATCACGGAAGTAGAAGCAATCCTTAATGATCGTCCTTTGACATATATTTTATCGGATGACAAGGATCCAGAACCCCTTTGCCCTTAACTTAACTGTCTACCATATCCAAATGAATTGAAGATTGATTCCTTGGAAGGCCTCGAAAACAGCAGGAATGATATTTGTATATATCAGCAGACCAAAAACATAACTTAATTCAGCATTTTTAAAAAGATGGACCCAGGAATATCTTACATCGTTACGGGAATTCCACAGGACATAAGGAGTAAACAAAGTCTATAACAACTGGGGATGTTGTACTAATCCAAGAGGAGATTCCAAGAATGAAGTGTGGAAATTAGGAGTGATAGAAGAGTTAATGAAAGGAAAGGATGATTTCGTTCGATCTGCAAAGTTGAGAACAAAAGGTGGAACAAGTACAAGACCCACTGTGAAATTTTTTTCCACTTGAAATAAATGAGAGACAGAATACCGCGAGTGATAAAAATCTCTAAAGTGCTATGGTGTATGTTAAACATTTCTTGGGCGGGAGAATAGAGATTTGAAAAGACTGTGCCGAAAATTACTTTCTTTCATTTCACACCTGAGATTTAAGGAGTGCAAAAACTTTTAAATAATCACAACGCAAATGAACCTTATTATTCTTATTTAGATTTATGCACATTTTGACGGCCCCAGGATGTCGTTGATTTCTTGACAGTTTAATTATTCTTTGTATAATGTAAATTAATGCACACTTACATTATGTTTTGTACGCCGTACTATGATGTCATAATAATATGGCGTCATAAACGTTTCCACGACGTCATGTAAATAGCTTTTTATACAGTTTAACTTAGAAGGTACGTCGTACGCAGCACAGTTAAGGTTACAAAAAGGAGACGGAGCCTAATTTGTACGGGAAAACTTGACTATGACATCATACAAAATATACGTCATACAACATTTCTTTAAAATACCACAAAATGAGTTGATTTGCTAATCTAACCAGTAAAAAAAACATCAAACTACATAAAACTTACTACAGCCTGCTGTTTTGTCGTTAGTTAAATCCCACATAACAAGTTATAAACAAGTCACAGATTGCAGTACACTTGTCAATATGACGTCATTTCTTAAAACGTGACGTAGTTTGTATGCAGTGAGAGACAGATCAAGTAATATTTTCTCAACAAAATATGAATTCTCTAATTAAATAAAATATTATTTACAGATATTCTATGGGCCAATAACTTGAATTTAATGTCTTCTTCATTATTTTATTAATATATTTTCTGTACATTACGTATTTAATTGACACTGCCGTATATTGCAAGTAAATGTGCTAAAATTACGTGACTGTTGCATCACGTGACTAGTCTAAATATAAAATATAATCGTCCTCGATATGTAGTTATTAATCATAATTACAATTATCCGATATAAATAATGTACTAAAAATAATCGCCATCAGGATTATGAATACACTTTTAAATACAAAATATAGTCGATATTTCCATTGCGCACCTTAACTGTACTGCGTGTGACATCATAACTAGTAAAATGTGTTTAGCCTGTGCTAGATCCATTATGACGTCAAAATTAATTCAATGTCACTTTTCCCGTACTTTACAGCTTCAATAAAAATGGTAGAAAATACCGCATTTTGAAATTCACAGAACTCAATTTAAAATCATGCCGAAATACTCAGTAATCTTAATTCAATAAGATTCAGCTTTCCACTGAATTCATGTCTATCCCGGATGCTCATTTTATACTAGGTGTAGATTAGTAGATTTACATCTCCATATTTGTAACTCCTTCGAAATTTGCAAAAATTACTTTAAATTTGAATTTGAATTTAATTACTATTACTCCTTACCTTGAGTACGTTTTAAACTTTTAATGCACTTTCAAAATAGTTTCCAATCTTTTGCATAATCTTTGAATATTATTTGTTGTAGCTAATTTATCCAAATATTTGACCTCTGGTCACTTCAATACTATTGGTTCCTTCTTCACCCTAACCAAATACATCTTTTCATAAACAAGTAAGTAGCAGCTGCATTCCCATGATTTATTTCATGAGACCGTCCGGTTTAAAAGTTTAACTTCTATTGATCAGCCTCTTTAATTACTTTTTAACCAAATCCATCTTTTCATACCCAAGTAAATATAATTGATTCCAATGATTTATTTTTATCTTCAGAGCTCGCATCTTTTATTTCTCTAAGCCGAATAGTGCAAATCCATAAAATCTGTTTGATTTTTAAATTTACTGCAATTTTTATTATGATATATTTTTTGTTTTATAATGCTTAATGACAACATATTTCTTGAATTAGAGAAACCTGTAGGCACCTTTCATTTACCAGATCTTGACCTTAATTAAGTTGACAAATCGAAGACTATCTTGTGTAATGAAATTACAATGTATACAACTTACTGTAATAATTTTTTGAATGGTATGTAACCATTTTGATGGAATGCAAAAATCCTAAGAAATCTTCAGTTGCCAACTAAATAGTGTAATCTCTTGATGAAATGTGTCTAAGTCAAAGATGTACGTGTTGTAGATCGTGTGTATATTTTTGTGATATCTATAATGAAATCATATGCATTCCCTTTCATAATTATTTGTTACTTATTCATATTCTTTGTGTTTGATTACAATTTTTCTATTTAATATGATCTTTTTAAATTAAAAGTACAATTTTTGATAAACATTTTTAATCTGAAAGTAACCCAAATCAGTCATTTAATAATTAAATCCCGTGTAAGTGCAAAAAGATCAAGAATATTAGCATCGGTAAATAGCCTCTCTCATTAGTTAGAGGCGAAAGGTATGTATTTTAATCACTTTTTGTAATCATTTGGGTATGTTCTTCATCATTTTAAAGATTGAAAACATTGTGACAAAGACTTCTAAAAATATTTACAAATGTAGGATGGAAAATTGATTTAAAAAATAGAGTTCATTTGCCTACTTTTTTTTTAAATGTGGACTTATCTTTTATGTCAAATGAATAAAAAAGAAATTATTCTTGAGAAAAATTGTTTAATTAATATTGTTCAGTTAATAAAGTCTATAAACGACGATGTTTGAAGAGGTATTTCTGTGATTTTTCATATTCTCTTCTTGACAAGTACCCCTAAAAATAACTGAAAATGTGTAGTCACAGTATGAAATTACTATACCAAGTTTCACAGGCTGTACTAGATTTAAAAACAAGGAAACATATCATGAGCTTTTAACTGATTGATAAGCAAGTACTAATTTATCATTTTGAAAAGTTTGAAAATCTTGTGACAAAGACTGTTCCGACATAGGTTCTACCTTAAACCAGAGTTCAAATAAACACTGAACAGTATAGACGTGTTTTTCATATCTTCGGGATATCAACCCACACCATTCTCGACAGAGCTGAACCTTACAACGAGGCTTCGAATCCACTGCTTGACGTAGAGACCGGTCTTTCGGACGAGACCTTATTAACCAATCGAGGTCCCCAGTCGCTGTAGGGTGGCCTAGGTGGGAAAAAGATCCCTCACTGCTCAATTGCCTTAAGAGCTGAGTTTAGAAATAAATATGCAGTCCTCCGCCGGCAAGTGGTGGTGTCTCCATATGAGTGAAAAATTCTCGAAAGAGACGTTAAACAAGAAACAAACAAACAATCAAACAAACAACGTAACAATACTTTCTTAAGAAAATACGGGAACCTTGCATACCGATAATAATTACTGCAATAGTTTAGGCTATATGGAACACGGATATCGGCTAGGATAGTTCAGGGCTTAGCACAAGACTACTTATATATGGATTCAGGCTTGATATTGGGCTTGGCCCATTCATAATTTGTCTGCCTTCCTGCTAAATTGAAATCTCGTATTTTATATGTTAATAAAGCCCAATTTAGTTTGAACAATTTTTAGGAAGAAACGGCTAATATTTTTAAATTTGAGATAAAGTGTTATGTATCATGAGAAATAGGATGAAAGTTTGTTACCTTGCCTTGTCTGTTGTGAAAAATTAAAATTATATCACTGTTTTCTTTTTTCTTTTTCTTTCTCTGTATAGACATTGACACTTGTGGCCTTTTATGGTAAGGACCTCGTCAGTTGTTAGAACTTGTATTCAAACCATCTGTATTTCATTTATACAATAGAATATGTTCAATCTAAACTAACTAAAAAATAAAGGAAAATGACTAAAGGAAGAAATGTTTTGCATTACAAAATCACATTTATTTTGCAATACAGTCATTTGGCCAGTTCCGAATTTTGACTAGTTCTGAAAAATTATTAATTTAAGAGCTGATAATTAATATGTTCAAAGGTGTAATGATCTGGCACATAATTTAGGCTCCCTTAGCATTACATGGATACTGCCACTCTTTCTAATATTGAAGGGTATATCCGTCTCTTATCCACAATTCCTCCATTCCACTGAATAAGATTTAATGATACTTTCATAGACTCTTTATTACATTGTGTCATTGTGCATGTGACTTCTTATTTTACTTTTTGATCTGACACTTGTTTCGGGTCTCTCAGAGCAAAACATGGACTTTGTCATAATAATTATGTAGGAGGCGTGGGGTATCATTAAAGTGAGCTCAGTGCTCACAGTACCCCTAGTTTCTCTTCATTTCTTTGGAAATACAAATAACTTATTGGTAAGCAATTAATTTAACTTTTCTTAGGCATGCCAATGGATAATGTGTGGGGCGTATATTTTTTAATTTAGGGTTGATTTAAATGGGTACCGCTAGGGTATCCGGAACTCGTCGGCTTATTCGTAACTGGTAAACTGAATACCTATGTTAACTTGCGAAATAAATTTCTAAGGGAGAAGACAAAACTTTTATGACACAATATTTAATTCCACAAATCATTGAACTACCTTGACAAAAAACTAAGATTTTGAAATAATGCCTCGTATATTCATAGCACCGCCGAATCCGTTTCTTATTCGGAACTGGTCAAATAACTGTACATGTATATCAACTGTTTATTAAAAAGGGGGGGGGGGTAGCCTTTATCACCGTAAAATGTGTACATTTTTATATTATATCAAGAAATGGTTATTGTACTGTACAATTTTCTTAAAATTCAATTTTTTTTAATTTATTCCGTTTTTTTTTTATTTAACAAAATTTACGTATATAACGTAGCGAAATATTTTAGCGCAATTTGACGTCATTTAACTGTGACGTTCTTCTCTTCAAGGTCAAGATCTAGTAAATAACTTTAGACTAACTTTTTGGTGCTAGATCCATTATGACGTCATAATCAACTTCAACTTTCTTTTTCCCGTACTTTACGGCTTTAGCAGAATTATGTAGAAAATAGGTTTTTTTTATGACATTCAATTTGAAATCATATGAAAAGTAAACCGGATAGCTTTATTAAATTTGAGATTGATTTAAAAAAGAGGCCATGAATATACTAATTACCGTTTTCTGAGAGATTGTAGGCAATCTGGACACATTTCCTTTGTCGAATATGAAAAAACTCCCATATTCATGACTGGTTTTCTTAATTTTGCATTGAAAATGACTGTTTAAAATACAGTTTTTCATCTTGTTTACCTACAAATTATGCCCCGAAACACCTTATTTGACCAAGCTTGAGTTGTAAAGCATAAAAAAAGGAATTTATTTCTCAAATTTTATAAATCTGTAGGCACCTTTCATTTACTAGATCTTGACCTTAATCCTGACGGAACCCTGCAAGGGAAACGTGTTGCATCTGAAAGGCAAGTCTGCGTGGGTTTATAAAGTAGATAGGGCTTGTTTAGTAATCCTTTGGTTTGAAATGAAATCTAATTGTCCAAAAAAGTAATGATGTGAAGTTATTTTGCTATATGCAACAAATACTAAGTGTTAATGAAATGGAAATTGCATAGATTGAAAAGAAGGCTTTAACAGTATGGAAATCTGCTGATGCTTTGTCCTATGATGTCAATGCTTTCCCATCGATTGGTGCCTACAGATCGGAACACGGTTCGGAAACATTACTAAATCAAGTCCATACAGTCGGCATATAACCCAAACCATCTCTTCGACTGTATGCTGTAAACGATTTTTATTAGTAAATCTATACTGAATGAAATGTCAAATCTATAATGACTGGATTGCAAATGTTATACAAACAGCTGTTGCAGTGTGCAGATCTAAAACAGTGACAGTATTGAATCAGTCTCGTTACCTCGAGGAGTCACGGATAGTCCAATAAAAGGACTGCTTTTAGAGTAATATGGCGTGCGAAACGTTTGTAAAAGAATTTCAATCTGATAATTTAGGACTAAATCATGACACTCCTGCAGACTTTGTCCGTTCCCAGGTAAGACTGATGATTTTGTTATAAATTATGCTTTGCAGTCTTCCAATAATCGATTATAAAAGTCAAGTAATCTAAGCGTAGAGCAGTATCGCATGTGATCGCACTTTAACGCGTTAAACTGCAGACGTCGGATATAAATTGTTAGTTTCCAATAATACGGTTGCATGGTAAACAAATTAAAAAATCAGTAATTTTGAAATATTGATTTACGATCTTCTAAGAATATTATATACATTGGAATATGATCGATAACTAAAGACAAGTTCAAGGTTACAATGATATGAACCGCAATTATTATTCAGAATAGAAAGACATTTGTCCGATAAAACTATTTCAATTGTTACTTATGCCCTGTTCACACGACGAGTTTAATTCGCAGTAAATTAATGCGAAGTAAACTAATGCGAATCAAACTAATGCGAATTAAATTGCGTTCACACGACAGCTAATGCGAAGTAAGCTAATGCGAATTAAAATTTTACTTTGCAGCCCGGCGTCAGCACGGCTATTATGACGTCATTTGCAAATCACGTCACCTTATGCAGAAGCAGATCCATTTGACATAATGGCAAAGTGTGTTATACACAATTTAATAATTCAAGTTTGTTTGTATTCTAGTCTCTCATTGGTTGATTTCCAAAAAGGAACGCAAATTATTTCTCAATAACCTGGTTTGGTATGGGGACACACCCCCTTGACAACCAGCTGAATCATCTGTATCCATGCAATCCCCTCATTTCCAGTCCTTGGGATTCATGGAAAATTCCAGATTTAATAAATGTACCTTTACCTTCAAACAGTAGCTCGATCTTACCTCATGTAAACAAACATCACGGCTGCTAGATCTGTGTATCAGTTATTACTTCCCCTTGTTTCATATCACTTCCGTTACTAGGGATGTATTATTGAGCGGCAAATTCAAATTCGAACTCATAAAAAGCAGCACAATTTTACACCCACAGCTGTTTAATTTTTTTTATTTTTAATATTTTAAAATTAGATTATAAGGAATGACTCTAATTCTTCGATTATAACCTGGTTTGGGTCAGTTTACGCTTTTTTATAATCCGCTTCGCGGATTATAAAGCGTGCGTAAACTGGTCACCCAAACCAGGTTATAATCGAATAATTTGGCCAAGAATTAGAGTCATTCCTTAAATGATTAACAACATTTTCCTTAGTTTTTCACTCAAAAATAGCACAAGTACCTATAGCTGACCACCGACAAATGGCATTAGACTAAATTTTGCCATTACGCATGCATCAGAATTTAATTCGAATTAGCTTCGCTTAGCGTTCACACGGAGCTAATGCGAAGTAATTTAATGCGCTGTAAACTAATTCGAATTAAACTAATTCGCATTAAATTCCCCATGTGAACGCTAAGCGAAGCTAATTCGCAGTAACTTTACATTTAATTCGAATTAAACTCCGTGTGAACAGGGCATAATATAATGCAAGTATTAAATTTGAACCGCGTTCAAACGAGAGGTTTAATGCGAATTAGTTTAATTCGAATAAATTTACTGCGCATTAAATTACTTAGCAATAGCTCTGTGTGAACGCTAAGCGAAGCTAATTCGAATTAAATTTTGAGTCGTGCGTAATGGCAAAATTGGGTCAAATGCCACATGTCGGAGGTCAGCTTTAATGCCCTGTTCACACGGAGAGTTTAATTCGAATTAAAAGTAAAGTTACTGCGAATTAGCTTCGCTTAGCAATCACACGGAGAATTTAATGCGAATTAGTTTAATTCGAATTAGTTTACTGCGCATTAAATTACTTCGCATTAGCTCCGTGTGAACGCTAAGCGAAGCTAATTCGAATTAAATTTTGAGGCATGCGTAATGGCAAAATTAGGTCAAATGACACATGTCCGTGGTCAGCTTGAATTATTTGTGCTATTTTTGAGTGAAAAACAAAGGAAAATTGTGTTAATCACTAAATTGTGTGTACAGACACTGTAACATTATGTCAAATGCATCTACTCCTGCATAAGGTGACGTGATTTGCAAATGACGTCATAATAGCCTTACTGACGCCTGGCCGTAGAAGTAGAATATTAATTCGCATTAGTTTACTTCGCATTAGCTGTCGTGTGAACGCAATTTATTTCGCATTATTTTGATTCGCATTAGTTTACTTCGCATTAATTTACTGCGAATTAAACTCGTCGTGTGAACAGGGCATAAGTACTTGTGCTATTTTTGAGTGAAAAACTAAAGAAAATTTTGTTAATCACTAAAACATGTAAAATGTGTGTACAGACATAGTAACATTATGTCAAATGCACCTTGTTATGGGTCAGAATAACCCTAAATGCCAGCAAAGATCAATCACACAGTTTAAACTTAACAATAATTTATTTACAGTAATAAACAAATCATTAAGTACAAACTTAGCAAAAATCTAAAAATACATACATCAGAGTGTCCGTTGCTGCACACAATGTCCCAGTGAAATTATATCCCAGTAATACCTCAATAGTGCTTATACGACAAAGTATATTTATGCATCGAATTGACAGGGTATTTATACAGTATTATAAATCTAGAATATTCTAGAAATTGTAAATACATGATATTCCTGGAAAGTTCTAGACATAAACAAAGTTCAAGAATGTTCTAGAAAAAATGACCAAACATATTGACCACTCTGGAATGCTCAAGAAACTTAATGTTACTAATAATATACAAGATGAAACAATACACATCTCACAACAACCTGCTTCTTCATAAGGCGATGTGATTTGCAAACGACGTCATAATAGCCTTATTGAAGCCTGACCGTAGAAGTAGAATTTTATGCCCTGTTCACACGGAGAGTTTAATTCGAATTAAACGTAAAGTTACTGCGAATTAGCTTCGCTTAGCGTTCACACGGAGAATTTAATGCGAATTAGTTTAATTCGAATTAATCTACTGCGCATTAAACTACTTCGCATTAGCTCCGTGTGAACGCTAAGCGAAGCTAATTCGAATTAAATTTTGACGCATGCGTAAGGCCAGAATTAAGTCACAGGACACGTGTTGGTGGTTATATATAGGTATTTGTGCTATATATATTTGGTTCAAAAATTGAGGGAAAGTATGTTAATCACTAAAATCAATGAATACATGTGGCCGCTACATGATGTATCAAAGGATGGCGCTGCATACATGACGTGATTTACAAATGACGTCATAATAGACTTACTGACGCCTGACTGTATAAGAAAAAATTTAATTCGCATTAGTTCACTTCGCATTAGCTGTCGTGTGAACGCAATTTAATTCGCATTAATTTGATTCGCATTAGTTTACTTCGCATTAATTTACTGCGAATTAAACTCGTCGTGTGAACAGGGCATTAATTCGCATTAGTTTACTGCGCATTAATTTACTGCGAATTAAACTCTTCGTGTGAACAGGGCATTAATTGGTATAATGCCCTGTTCACACGACGAGTTTGATTCGCAGTAAATTAATGCGAAGTAAAGTAATGCGAATCATATTAATGCGAATTAAATTGCATTCACACGACAGCTCATGCGAAGTAAACTAATGCGAATTAAATTTTTTCCTCTTCAGTCAGGCGTCAGTAAGTCTATTATGACGTCATATGTAAATCACGTCATGTATGCAGAGTCATCCTTTGATACATCATGTAGTGACTACAGATATTCATTGATTTTAGTGATTAACATACTTTCCCTCAATTTTTGAACCAAATATAGCACAAATACCTATATATAACCACCAACACGTGTCCTGTGACTTAATTCTGGCCTTACGCATGCGTCAAAATTTAATTCGAATTAGCTTCGCTTAGCGTTCACACGGAGCTAATGCGAAGTAATTTAATGCGCAGTAAATTAATTCGAATTAAACTAATTCGCATTAAATTCTCCGTGTGAACGCTAAGCGAAGCTAATTCGCAGTAACTTTACGTTTAATTCGAATTAAACTCTCCGTGTGAACAGGGCATAAGTTTACTTCGCATTAATATACCGCGAATTAAACTGTCCGTGTGAACAGGGCATATGTATTATAGTTAAGAGACACTGAATGTTTCAAGAGCTCAAAGCTTAACTAATGCATTGACTCATGACAAGTCTATTGTAGTTCGTGATTATGTCAACACTCCTTGCTCTGAAACTTCTCACTTAAACTAAGGTCGATCAATGTTGAATATTTTCTACAAAAGTTCTTTTATATTTGTGTAACACTTTAGATGTAAAGGGATGCATTATAATCTGTAATTTTCCATAAAGTCAGTTCAACACGCATACGAAAATGAATCGGGGCTTCTCTAGAAATAACCCGTCCGTGTACGTTTAAGGTAGTATGGGATACCTCCGTGCTACGAATTCTAACGTTACCATATTTGAAACATCTTTTTAAATACTCACAATCGTACCACAAAAAAAAAACAACAACAACAACCAAAAACGAGATTGTTTGTGAAATACTATGCCCCCGCGATGGTAAAACAATCCTGGAGTGGGACGCAGACTACAATGCAATAGTTATGGCCAATGTTAAAGATTTCAAATGTAGGTCAAAGGTCACAGTTGAGGTCACATGATCAAAAGTTTCTTTACGAAATAGAAAGGTCTTGTCATAATGAACACTGAAATATCAAAGTCTTACCCTTGACCGCGCAATAGTTATGGACTAGGTAAAAGTTGACAACAGACAGACAAATAGACAGACAGGAAAAAAAGCAATATACCTCTTTCGATACGGAGGCATAAAAACTGGATACGTTAAGACCAATTACTGGTCCTATAAAAAACGGCAAAAATTATTTTCAATACTTTAAATATTCCGGATTTCCTGTGTTTTGGGCGTTACTCTCCTTTTCAAAGTTGAAAGGTCGCATCTGAGTCTGTGTGAAACTTTGCAGGGAAAACAGGGTGTCCCATGATTTGTAGCAGGATATGATTGTTTTTGAAATAGATATAAAACCTAATTTTAAGGAATGAACGAAATAGCAACCCAAGTTTCATTAGGATGTATAGAATTTATTTTTTCTAAATGCACGAAATATGATAACGAACAGTTTTCAAACTCGAAAGATGATTGAATCAATACAGAAGAAGCACGAAGCTCTAAAGGTGGTCAAAGACAAATCAGGTGCCATGGAGGAGTGATGATCCCCTGTCGACCGGTCACACCCGTCATGTGCTCCTGGTCATTAATTAGCAGATAAACGGAATTTTTGGACTTCTGGGAAGCAGGCTTTTATAGAAGAAAACGTCATTTTTTGACCTCCGTTTGTCCTTAGGATAATGTTTAAAATTCCAAAACTCTATTGCACATTTACAAGACAACATCTATCATATAACAATACTCTCTTAAAATGAAAGAGGAGATTGAGGAAGAAGAAAGTGTAACAGACGGACTAACCACGGAAACAACAATATACCCGAATCTTCTTTAGAGAGTAAAAATGCACCGCATGTTTGATTATAGTCGATGAAGGATATGGAGATAACGAACAGTATTCAATATCAAAGTCCATAAAACAATACAAAATAGGAGTAGAGCAAACAGACCTCTAAAACATCAGAGGTGGGATTAGGTGCCATAGAGGAGTGAGCATCCTCTGCCGACTGGTCACACCCGCAGTGTGCTTTTTGTCATGATAGGGAAATAACGGAAAAATCCGTCCTCAATTCAGTGTATAAATAATGGACTAACAATTAGTATGAAAAACGACAGTTAGCAATTGACTCAATGATAAATTGTATTCGCTGATGTGTATTCAGAAAAGCTCGTAGGTAAACTAACAAAAAAAACCCCCAAAAAACAAAAACCAACAAACAAAAACAAAAAACAAAACAAACAAAAACAAAAGAAAAAATACAAATTAAGGTACCCTAATATCTATGCATTTCAAAAACAAAATACCAATGGAAATTCTGAAAGTCTCTAGCTATATGCATGGGCATCATGAAGATTCACAACGGGAAAAAAATCAATGCTTGTTTTGACAAGTGTTCATGGTCGATTATTTTTTCTGTCCTCAAAGTGGACAGCTTTAACAAATTATCTACTTGAATCATGATCGTCTCCACATCGTATAAGCAAATGGCTTTTAGATTTCTGTTCTTGCGTATCGATTATTCTGCGCGAATAATGAAGGAGGAGAGTTTTATAAATAAAACAGAATTCAGAACAGCTTGGGATTTGTCTTCCAAATTACACGACATCTTCTGTAAATAAAAAGACACGTTAACTTTATGCTTGCAATCACTATATGAATGTCATCACGCAGTAGTAACCAAGTTTATCTCCAGTACTCTGTATATATGCAGAAATACTGCTACGAAGGTTTTCGAATGCTTGTCATACTTAAAGGTACTTAACACAAACAAAAAATGGATGCTTGGATTAATATATATCTTCTGACTCATTTTGATTTGAAATGACATAAATGATAAATCCCTGAATTATAAAGAAATCATAGGTTTTCCTTGATGCTTAGATATGAGACTTTGTTTTACTTTCTATATAATTCCATACAAAACTTTGCACAAAATCTTAAACTTATGACAAAACATCTTATACAATTCTCCAACTATACTTGGTAAACATTATTCATGTTACAAATTTAATTGTTAATCTATGAGAAATATAGCTGATTTCTGAAAAAGTTTGTTTGTGTTATTTATCCTTAAAGCATGATAGAAATCATATGCTAACATCGATGTTGAGCAACCTCCTATTTGCTGCAATTTTAAAGTTAAAGATGGATATCTGGGTTTTTGCTTGATTGTCCCAGATTTATCTCCGAATAAACAGGGTGAAACAAAATTGCTGCTGAAACCTTCAACTTTGAAATGATCAAAAAATATAGAGCAATTTGAATTTTAGGGTAATAGAAATGTGCTTCATCTCTAGCAGTGAAATGGAAATAAGGGGTATTTTATTCACGATGTATGATGTAATTAAATATTTTATTTTGTTGGTAGTGGCCTATTAGTCAAAAGCTTTACATGGGTTGTCGCTTGATTGTGTCAACGGCTATGATTGGTTGGTTTCTGGCAGACATTGTCTACGAATCAGCTGCTTTCTATCAGGACCGTACTTGGACTTATGCTGTTTACGCCACTAACTGGAGTTTCTTCCTGTTGGTCGTCACAAGTGTATACCAGACAATGTGTAGTTTGTTCTACACAATCAGGACTGAGGAAAACCTAGGTACTCATGTATAAGTTATACTGATTTTGAAAAACTGTTAACTTAAATGTACTCACGCTGCTAGCTGTTGTTCATCCACATATTTCTAAATAACCTTTCTAATATACAATTTTCAAAAATACCCCAAGTATGTAGATTTTTTTTTAAATCCATCTACAGAAAATGAAGAACAGAAAAAAATCCACGTTGACTTCTACTCATTAAACAAACATTCAGGAAACATGAACATGTAATTTACAAATGTAAAACTTATAGTACGAAATTCAATTTTCAGTCCGGAGCATTCAATTAAAACAAAGCAATACCCCATATTCTTTATTGTTAAAACAATAGACCTATATAATACATGTGTTTGTCTTATTCGAAATAAAGAGATAGGCTGCAGATGGTGGTTAAGGATGAAAAACTTACCTGAGCTTGTTACAAATGAAAAAAAATCTTTTGTTCGATATAGAACAAGCATGTGTGTTTTTATTCAGAAACATTATAGTGAAACTTGAAGACAGGCAATCATTGCATTATTTCCGTCTAGTTCAATATCAACTACCATGTACTATAATAAATTTTGTCAACCTTAAATGAGCTTCTGGAACGTTTGTGCTAATTTACGTCGTTTTCATACATACTAGATAGACATTTAATATTGAAATGTTTCTTGTTTGCAAATATTTTGTATTATGTGTAGATGAATTATGTTTTTAGTTGACCTCCGGCTCTCTGGAGATCTGCAGATCAAATATATTGGTACCTAAAGTAAGGCCTTTTTACAGGAAATACAAATGTGAAATATAAAACCCTAGCACCACCTGTTCAAAGGTTATGACCAAGGTTAACGTTTTTAAAGGTAGGACAAACTCCGGGATCAAGGTCAAAGGGTCAAGGTTGGTTTCTAAAGGAAGGCCTTGTCTCAAAGATTACATATGGGAAGTATGAAAGTGCTGGCCCTTACCATTCAAAAGTTATGGCCAAGGTTAAAGTTTGTAAAAAGTAGGTCAAACTCCAAGGTCAAGGTCAAAGAGTCAAAGTTGTTGATATCCAATAAAAGGTCTTCTCAAAAGGATCTCATTTGTGAAGTATGAAAGCGCTAGCCCTTACCGTTCAAAAGTTATGGCCAAGGTTAAAGTTTTTTTGTAAGTAGGGAAATATCCAAGGTCAAGGTCAAAACGTCAAAATTGTTGGTTTCAAATGAAAGGTCTTTCCAAAAAAATTTGATATTTGAAATATGCAATTCCTTGTATCTACCGTTTGAAAATTAGGGCCAAAATAAAACTTTAGATTTTTTGTGTAAAAATGGGTCAAACTCCAAGGTCAAGGTCAAAGGGTCAAGGTTTTTGATATCAAATGAAAGGTCTTGTCACAAGGATTAAATTTGTGAAAGCCCTAGTTTTAACCCTTCAAAAATTATAATTAAAGTTGTATTTAAAAAGTAGGTCAAACTCCAAGGTCAAGGTCAAAGTTCTTGGTATCCAATGAAGGATTACATATGTAAAGTATGAAAGCCCTAGCTCTTACCGTTCAAAAGTTATGGCCAAGGTTAAAGTTTTTTCATAAGTACGGAAATCCCTAAGTTCAAGGTCAAAAAGTCAAAGTTGTCGGTACTCAATGAAAGATCTTGCCACAAAAAATACATATAAGAAAGTATTAACGTCCTGGTATCTACTGTTCAAAGGATATGGCCAAATTAAAAGGTTGGAATTTTTGTGTAAAAGTGGGTCAAACTCCAAGGTCAAGGTCAAAAGGTCAAATTTGATGGTACCCAAAGAAAGGTCTTTTAACAAGGAATATACCTGTCAGCTATGAAAGCCATAGACCCACCGAGTAAAAAATTACAGGCAAGGTTAAAGTTTTTGCGGACAAACAGACAGACAGACAGACGGACGGACACGACAAAAACTATATACCCCCGAAACTTCTTTTACAGGGGCATAAAAAGTTAAGGGTCCCTTTTGATTTTCGTATATTTTAATTTGTGCTTTTTATTATTAAAAAAATCTTTTCAGATAGACACTTTGACAGGATGCCGCTCTCCTTGAAGATTCTTTGGGTGCTAAAAAACCTAAGTTATAATTCAGCGTTTATCGTGACCATGTCTTATTGGGCATTTATATCTTTCCTAGATCATAGCAGTGAGTTACTTAAAATATACTTTATTATATTAAAAAAAAACATTCTTTTCTTGATTCTTTCCTTTATTATTTATAAACCCTTTGATTGATTGGTTGTTTAATCATTAAAATGCATATACCTTAAAGTATTTACGTTGTGGTATAAAGGTAGAAAGCAAGACAATAATAACGATGTCTACAAGTAGACTTTTTGTACATAATGCAAAAATCAGGTACCTTTATTCTGTGACATTTTCGAACTAAAAGATATCTAATTTGTTTTAGACGTGATATCCTTTTTTGACAGAGCTATTCCAGACAGATTTAAGCAGACTGAAGCACACTATGAATTCTGTCTACGTTTTACTGGACATGATGATATCGGCCACTCCATTCCGACTTTTACACATGTTATACACGATGGCTTTGGGATCCGTGTATTCCTTGTTCAATGCTATATATTTTCTGAACGATGGAACAATTTTGGAGGGACGACATTACGCCTACAACGTCCTGAACTGGGTAAAACCCACGGAGGCTATAGTGACGTGTACGCTGTGTATTGTCTTGGCAATACTTAGTCAGACGTTACTATTCTTGTTGTATAGGTTGCGTCTATGGATATTCTCTAAAGTGTATTTCAAAGAACATTCTTTGGCACCGTTGGATGACTTCGAATCTGAGATGAGCAGTATTATTTCGGAACAAACTACATACAAGTACACAATGGAGTAAACGAGTACCGACAATATTATAATGAAAAATCAAAAGTGAAGTCCTTAGATCAAGTACATATATTTACATAATGTTACAGTATTCTAAATGCGTATATTTCGTACCTGTTTCAGTAATAATCACGCACATGATTCAAAATAGAAAAAAAACCCACTTATATGTACAGATATCTACGTTCAAGCTTCCCATACAACAAAGTCAAATAAATGTTCAAACATACTTTTGTATATTATGTATATGTGGATTAAAAATGCAGGTGCTCTCATACATGATATGGATTTGTATATGATCTACTACTTAACTTCTTGTGTAATTTCAAGTCACGTTGATTAAAAGAATGATATTCCAGTATCTCTTCTCCTCTTGCATATATTTTACAGCATCATGATATTGACAATCTGTTTTTTATATGTTTGAAACATGTAACCTAGAGTCAAGTTCATTGAAAATTTCCATGGCACAAGCAACAGCATGCTTTTTGTCGAAATTATTCCTGTTATGATTTCAGAAGTTGTTGCCTTATCAAATCTTATTGTCCTGTAGAAGCAGTTGAAGAGATCTGTAAATGAAAGGATGGGAGTTTAATCCCCGAACTTGACTTACCTAAATTGAGTCGATGATAAATAGGTATTTTCCCTTCGTTTAGCACTTTGAAGCGAGAGTTTAGGGTCTTTCGGATATTACCATAAAAACCGAGACCCCGTGTCATAGGGAATACCTCAATGCCCCTTAGTGTAGAATAAAGGTTAAAGTATCAAGCATTTTAGCGATATGTGGTGCCACACTTGGTGAGTAAAAGAAAATTTAAATGGGACGTAAAACAGCTTGAAATATATAATAAGAGATAAGGAGCAGTCTTTTTTTCAAGCCAAAAGTCCATAAAACAATACAAAATAGGAGTAGAACAAACACGGACCCCCAAAGCATCAGAGCTGGGATCAGCTGCCATGGTGGAGTGAGCATCCCCTGCCGACCGGTCACACCCGCCGTTTGCTCCTGGTCATGATCAGGAAGCAACGGAAAAATCCTACCTAAATTCAGTATTAGTCCATCATTTTGATGCACTTATAATATAGTATGAAAATCGTTAGTCAGCATTTGACAAAATGATAAATTGTATTTGCTGACAAGCTTATTGTATCGCCCATAGAATTTATACAAGATGATGACTTTTAACGAGACTGCTGATATTCATCAACTTATTTGTCAATAATTTACCTCGTTTTAGAAATTGTTCATACGTAGAGCATATTCTTGCGTATCGAATCAACTGAGATATGTAAACACATCACATCCAGGTGATGAAGGCAATTTTCTGCAAAAGTAAGGGACGATTGAAATGTTAAAATCATCACGTTTATCATGAAGCTTGGTTGACAGATTACCAATAACATCTTTTCAAGTAAAAATATCCAATTATGAAACAGATGTGTCAGATTCTGTGGTATCTTTTATCTCAAGCTCACTGGGATATATCGTATTGACATAAGAATGGAAATGACCATTGTTGATTTACAATACGTTGTCGATATATCTAAATGTCGATGTGGAGGTCACAACAAGTGTTTTCTTCTTTTCACGTTTAAGATTTTGGACAAATTCTGCTTCATATGAATATAAAAATAGGTCTAACAATAACGGGGCGCAATTGGTATGAGAATTCCAATAGATTGTTGGAAGACCTGGTCTCCAAAAACGACATAGATATTGTCGATCAGAAACTCAAGCACCTTCAGAGTACAGTGTGTACAATTAGAATGCTTTTAAGGACAGATGATACAAACAATTTTTTTCTTTGGAAGAGGCTTAATGTCATATCACAAGTTTAGAAAAGTGGCTAATTCTTAGAATTTTTTTCTCCTGAGAACTGGAAAATGAAATAGACTTGGAAAATATTAGTAATATATCAATATAATTACAAATATGGACAAAACACACTCAGTAAAGGTTTACAGATGAAAACAAATTTCAGAATATGTTACCTTGGTGCAAAAAGTGTAATTTAAACTTTAGAAAAATATACCAAGCCGGGTGAATTTTATTAAGAAAAGCAAAATGGTAAAAATCAGCCTATGTTTTATTGCTGATTTTTTGTCATTTTGTATTTCCTCATAAAATTCACCTGGCTTGGTATATTTTTCTAAAGTTTGTATTATACTTTTAGCACCAAGGTAAAATATTCTGAAATTTGTTTTCATCTGTAAACTTTTACTAAGTGTTATTTATCTACATGTATTTTTTTATTGAAATTTTAGTAATATTTTCCAAGTCTATTTCATTTTCCAGTTCTTAGGAGAAAAAATGCTATGAATTTTCCACTTTTCTAATCATGTAACATGATATTAAATCTATTCCAAAGAAAAAATTTGTTTGTATCATCTGTCCTTAACAAAATAATTTTGCAAATGACCAGTGTAGAGGTAGGTAAATTGACGATTTCCATTTTTATTGAAAAGGAAGCTGTCAATGATATTAAAAAGCCTGGAATTCATTTATCGTGGGCAATGGTTGTGTATAAAGTTTTTAAGCTGTTGATTTTTGTAAAATCTTGTGATTTAAAATTTTTCAAATTTCTTTAGAATTTTTAATTATCCACATATGATTTAATCCACCTCTTGATATATAGTTGCACAGTAATCTTAAAGTTTTTCCTTCTCTGCTGTTAATATCTCAGTGAAGAGTAAAGAAATCATTCTTTACATTTGTCACAAATTATTGTCACAAATTATGTATAATTGAAAAATCACCACCATTAATGTCACCAAAGGTTTCACTGTGGCAAGTAAAATGTACTGCTCAACGGCCATGAACGTTTAATATAGAGTCTTATAGACCGTTTGTTACGATTTTGATTTTAAAAAATGTATGAACAAAGTGCACTTTAAATATATGATTGATTTCATACCCGAGAAAGAAAAATGACTGTTCAAAACAGTTTTAGTGAAGATTATAATTTTATGTTGGATAAATAATGTATAAAACTTTTTATTTGTTTTGATAATCATTGATAAAAAATTTTTTTTTCAATGGTTTTAGTCATTTTATCGCATTTTAACTACTTAACTTACTTTTTAATTTGCAACACTTATTTCTATATAAATATTGTAATATTCACAAAAATGATAAATTTATGCGTATTCAAAATTTATTTGCAACATGGGAAAGAGAAACACTAGTACTAACCACTGACAGGGTATTTTGACACATACGTGTAAAATCGCTGTATTTTTTCCACGTTGATGATTGTCCGCTCCATTACGCTGATTGTTGGGAATTAGCGTTACTGGGTAGGCACTCGCTGGCAATGAGAGGGCGAAAAAGACGGAATTCTTTCTACATCTGAATTGCACATCCATTTAATCGACGTATAAGACAGACTAAAAATATGCAGCTACAACAGATTTATTAAGAAAAGGGACAGGCTCCGCCATATATCGGGCGAGAGCGCTGTGACCTTCGTGGCTGTATTGGCGAAAGCCAGTCGATAACTGAATAAAATGTACAAAACAGCAAATGACTTACAATTACATAACATTTACAATGGAGTTATTTATCAATCAGTTAAATTTATTGTCCAGGAGATAAATGTTTACTTAAATATTTAAGAACTTGTGAGCACAGGAGTCTGAAGTTTAAAAAAAAAACTCCGCAGAAAAATTCCAACCCTCAACTAAAAGTTTTGTAAGTTGAGGGTGGGAATTTTTCCCCGGATTTTTTAATGACAAAAACTATAATGTTTTCAAAAGTCCTTGATTGCTTTGCTTCCGATATTTGAGCTTTTATCTATATTCATTATCGTTAAAGTAATCTAACAACCAAGCTCTGTGATAAACGTTATGACTTTAATTTTTCTATCGTCAACTTTCATTACTTGTGCAGCAATATACACTGTACCTTCATCGCCTGCATACGGAGTTTATATCTCAGTTGATTCGATACGCAAGAGCATGCTCTACGTATGACCAATCTCTCAAATGGGGTTTATTGACAAAGAAGTTGATGAAACAAAAATATCAGCCAGTCTCGTTTACTGTCATCATGTTGTAAGTTCAGTTACCGACACAATGACCTTGTCAGCAAATACACAAATGACAAATCTTTGAGTCAAATGCTGACTGACTTCTTTCATATTAATTGTTATTCCATTATTTATACACTGAATGGACGGCGGATTTTTCTGTTATTTCTAGGTCATGACAAGAAGCACAGGGCGGGTGTGATCGGTCAGCAGGGGATGCTCACTCCTCCAAGGCGCCTGATCCCTGGTGTTTTGGAGGTTTGTATTTGCTCTGTTCCTATTGTGAATTGTTGAATGGACTTTTGATCTTGAATACTGCTCGTTATCTGAATATATGTTTTACTCCATATTATAGTCACTTCTTCGGATATTTTATCAGAGCATCTCTTTCTATTTCTATTTCTCAATCTACTCCAGTATCTCTTTTTCCAGAATCAGAAAATTTTAATAAAAGTCGAATTTTTACAACAAGTAACATTCTGTGGAGCTTTCGACCGCCATAAATAAACTTTTTCCGTGGATAAAAGATTAAAATACATTGTAACTCTTTTAAAATTAAAACTTTTCCTCGCCTTAGCGTTATAAAACTTAAATATATATTAATCACATAAAAATACGATATTTGCAGGATAAAAATCACATTCATTTGTCGACCGTGGGTTTGCTTTAAAATATTGGATTTCTATGCTGTACGTGTATAGCAGTATAAAATTACACGTTTTTGTTTGACGTTCATAAATACATTAATTCATTATAGATTTAAATACCAATTTATGTTTATCGTACTAGAACCATTATATAGCTCAAATTAAGATTTATGCAATGAGAGTGTATAATTATATTTATTTGATGCTAATTCAAGTATAGCTTGAGTAGAAAATGATAATTTTTCTTCATTAAATTGAAATATTAACGAATCTATACAGTCATTGACAAGTTAAATCTACATATGTTTTAAATTAACTGTTCATACATATCGACAAGCATGCAAATTTAATATGGTGTAAAAGATCAATATAGTTCATTTAATCAATTTCGATTTTTTTGTTCCATTTTTATTGCGGCTCCTTGTAAGTACAAATTTTGTAGACATACTAAAGTCCAAGGATTATGCAAATACCTCTCTTTGTTGTGATTAAACAGTGACGTTCAATTTAAGACAATGAATGTTTATAAATCAATATGTTAATGATTGCAATGTTGGTTGTGAAAATTGAGAATTGTTCTTCAAATTTTATGCGATATTGAGTGGAAAATAATGTGTATGTGAAGAAGTTAAATTTATAAGAAATATTTGGAAAATCTGTAGATTTTGTTGATAAAGTATTTTTAA